AACAGAACTGTACCTAATTTATCGTTAGTGGTCATACCTGTAAACTTTATAACAGAACTGTAGGTAGCTTGTCGTTAGTGGTCATACCTGTAAACTTTATAACAGAACTGTAGGTAGCTTGTCGTTAGTGGTCATACCTGTAAACTTTATAACAGAACTGTAGGTAGCTTGTCGATAAATCTGTTGTAAGATGATTATACTTAAAAATAAGTATGAAAAAAATATACTTTGCAAATTATGAAATTTTCTCATGTCTAAAAGGTTTTATTCTTTTCAGAAGGCAGTGTTGGAGAGTTTTCTTCACAGCACTCCTGGTGTACATTGGCCTATTGGGAATTCCGGTCCCGTGTTGGTCGCTTGTTCCCTGTTCACGAGAAGACCATAAACGTGTTTCATGACCTCCCTCATGGGGATGGACTGTGCCTAAGTGCTCTCACTAATACTGAGGGGTCACGGACGGAGATTGTTCTTCGAACAAGGCAGAAGATTGGACTAGGGGTCACACTGACCAGGGAGAAAGATGGTGTGTGGATGTACAACAGATCGGAGTACCCAGTGTTTGTTAACTCTCCTACTTTGGACTTACCTAACACTCAACCTCTAACTGTATACAAAGCCTTACCAGGTTACTCTATTAAAATCTTCGATTATGAAAAGTCAAAATGCTACCAATGTTTGGAAAAATCTGAACCTTCAAATGGGCCTTTCAATCATAATGCCATATGCATTAGTTTTGTCAAGGGTTGGGGCCCCAAATACTCTCGTCGGTGTATCACAGCATGCCCTTGTTGGCTAGAAGTCTTGTTATCAGTGGTTAGGTGACAGCGAGAGTATCATGCTAGTCGACTTTTTCAGTGCCATCAGAGTTCACTCTCAGCTGGATAGTATTTGTAACAAATGACAACCAACATGTGAAGTTTTACAGCTTTGATTTGTTAACTTCTGAAGTTGTGAATAAAGAAAGAAACAAAGTACAAATTTCTGAAAGTCCAGGCCTACAAGTTGTCTGGTCCGGTGAGTTGGTCTAGGTTCCATCCATGGGACACACTATATATTATGTACAGGCGTGGGTGAGTGTGTATGTATGTGACCGTGATGAACAGCCCAGTCACGTGGCTAAATGTAGGTGAAGCTTCAGAAACTGAAACTTACCTGTTTTTTTTATTATGTGCAATAATTTAAAGAAATCTCATCCGCTTCAGGTGTTAGGATCTAGTAAGGAAGACCAGGAGAAGACCGACAACTGTAGCTCAAGAAGTTTCGTCACGGTAAAAAATGGTTATTTCTAATTGTATGAACAAAGGTGTAGATTTGATTTACTTGGAGACTGGAATGCTTAAAATCATAGATTTTACATATTTTTTCGTGAAAACAGAAAGTAATAATTAGCAACATGTAGTGGTCTGATGCATGAGTGGACTACGGTCTGTCATGTTCTCTTGGTTCTCAACAAACGGTCATTATTCTTGCCAAGTATTTATGCAATTCAGGGTGTCCCAATGCTGTGCTATAGCAGTGCCTTCAGACTTATGTACTTAATAAAGTAGGGGTTTAGGGCCTCCCCATTAGGGGCAGGAATTTACTTTTGACAGTATAGCAGGCAATGTGGGTTGTCATATGACAGAAGAGTCTTAACATAAGAGTTTTTATTCCATTCTGTAGTGAGCGAATGTGTATGTTTTAAAATTGTTACAGTTTCCACTTGCTGTTGGTAGAATTTATTTATACAAAAATATTACTCAAAAATGGGGATTGTTATTTTAAAATTTAAGAATATTTGTCAAGAATTAAAGAAAATAGTAGCAGCTTAACAAACCACAACAAAAGTTGGGTGGTAAAACAACCAGTTACTATGTTATGAAGAAATGATTTACTTTAACATTAAAGATCTCCAAGTAAACGGTTTTAAAGCTTTGTTTAGTTTCAGCAAATATTATTAGTTTTTTATGAGCATGATGTCGAAAACGATATTCTTAATAACATTTATCAGTATACAACTTGCACTGTCATGAGAATTACAGGAACAACATGTATTAGTGAATTTTTTCTTCATGTAAAAAATTATATCAATCTTACAGAGAGACACTGAGTTAGGTGTTTTACCAGAACAGCTGCAACAGTGGGTTCAAAGAAGGTTTAACTGGTATAGTTTTTTTCAGTCATCTGTTATTTAAACCACTGTAGCAGCTGTTCTGGTAGTGTTAATGTGGTATCCTCTGACCTTATAATAGTATTACCTAAGTTAGTTAAAGAAATTTGAATAGGTTCCAGAAATTTCCGAATATCAAGGGCGTGTTAGCATAACATATTCATAAAATTTACATTAGCATGAAGTTAACATTCTTTGAATACAGCCATCACACTTAAAGTGTACTTTCAGATTTTCCCCTGGTTTAAAGTTAAATAGCCAGAGTATATTGTATTTGAAGATAGCTGGAACAAGGTAATACATTTCCACTGAATGCCAGTTCCTTTCAATTTGTTTTATACAAGACATAAAAATTAATTTTTCAATTTGAATTGAAAAGGATTTTGTAAAATTAGAGATATGATCTTTAAGAAGTTTTAATATTTTATTTTTTTGCAGTTCAGATATATTTTACTAAACAAAGTTTGTTGAATTGTGTGACATTAAAGTAAGAATAGCTAGGAGATGTTGACGGCATATTTAAGTTATCTAAGATGGAAAATTTGATATGACTCAAAAGAGCATTTTGTGGACCAGTTTTCTCTAACATTTGTTGGATCTTAGAAACTGTTGACTCATAAATTAACTAAAATTATGTCAAAATGATTTAAATTGTCAGATTTTAGGTTATGTAAAGTAATGTCTCTGATGGTTCATAAGCAACTAAAAATTATAATGTGTTTATAAATCATGAGATATGTTTGATAAAACCCATGTTGTTCGTTTAAGGTAAAAATAATTATAAAAGTAAATGTTTTTTTTAAATCATCTATTTCTGTAATGATACTTCATAAACAGTGGTGTAGCAAGATGTGGGAATATATTTGAGTCCCCCCCTTTGTCCACTAACCCTTCTCCCATTTTCTGTATTCCAAGGATTCTCTGTCTGTTGTTCTCTGAATTTTTTTTTTTTGATGGACAGAATTGCTGTCTTCCATTATTTCTTAACCCATTGAACATGTAATTAATTATTAACATGTAATTAATTATTATTTTGTTGTTCTGTGTCGCTTGTAGGATTGATAACATCATGTGTGTTTCTGAATTATTCAGTGATAAGAAACTTTGACTTTTGTTCACAGAATTGACTAAAAAAACTATAAAAAGTTTGGGAGACATCATTCCATACCTTCTGTTTTAAATTCATACTAATGATAACTATTATCTTCATAGTAAGTGTTTATTGAGGAAGCTTTTAATTTTTTCCTTCATAAGCAACTTTTTTTCATCCATAACTATTGTTGAAAAAGAATATTATAGAGTTTTATAATTCTGTGTAGTAAGTTGTCTTTCACTAATTTTATCAGTGTTAGATGTTATTCACTACAGTAGGTTTTTAACACATCAGTCTGAAGATGGACTCCAAGAAAAGAGTTTATATTGAATGATTGAGTATCACTATTTGTTATTATTGCCATATCAAATTTTACCATTTTGTTTATTGTTATTATTTTCATATAAAACCCTCATAGTCTTCAGTGGGATTTTTTATCTCCTGTATGATTTGGTGCTGGGGGAATTGTCCCACCTATTCCTACTCCACTGTTTATATAGTTTCTGCTATTTATTTTTCTGTTAATATGTTTTAATAATTAAAGTTTATTTTTATCAAACCTATGGAAGATAAATAAAAATGAAGTCTGAGGTAAAGAGACTAGACATATATGGAAACAAACATTTTAATTTTAGCAAGAAAAGAATGAGTATTTTGGCTCTTAGTATATTAACAGTATTAACATAGTATCCAGTGACCAGTTATTCTGTTGTTAAGCCTACATTATGCAATTTAATAGAGTGGGAGCCCCTAAGCCACTCTTACGTATATGATATTAAGTATAGCTCAAAGGTCTGGCGTTTTTGTAAAAACTGTAAATAATCACATCATCTATGACTGTACAGAATGGGGTAATGTATTTGAAATAAAGTAATTATATAAAGAACAATAACACATATAATGTTTTTATTATTCAAACTTAGTTTACTCATGAAAACATTGTTTAGGAATTTTAATGACCATAGCTGGTGATATCATTTCTAAAGTTTAAAGAACTTTGGTACTAGTTTATAATTTTACAAGCGACATACTAATTGTCAAACTAACTAACATCAACAGCTATCTAAGCTGAGAATGACAAATCCTAATGATGAGACTACTAGCATGAACACTAATTCAGGAGTTGGGATCCACAAAGCCAAACGTCATGTTATTTATAACAAAAATGTTTTTATCTCCATATGACACGTTACACTGTCCTTAAGCTTATACCAGATGACAAATCTGTTCGAGGGATAGCAAATTGCAAATACCAAAGGAAACATTAAAGGATCTATAAGTCTTTTTCAACCAATATAATAAAAGGCTTTTATTCCTTCTAACTTGACATTTCATGATGTGAATGACTTGTGCTTCTTGTATTTCACTGGCTATGGCTATAGTTTTAATTTTTGTATGAACCCTAAGGTTAACATAGGTGAATGTTATTTATATACAGGAAGGAAACACACAGAGTTATTCAAGTATCATACATTTTTGATAATTTTAATAATGCCACTGCCACTAGGTTGAAACTGGGGACTTAAGGACCTACGGAATGATGCAGTGGTCTAAGAGGCTACATGTGTGTTGATAACTTTCTTCCGGACAGCTTCGGTTCTAAACTCACTTCTGATGGAATCTTATTTTTAATGAATTGTAAATTAATAATCAAAACAAAAAAGTAATGATATCTGATATATAAGAAGAAAAAAACAGACAGAATCAAAGGGTCATCTATATAAAACTGTGATAAGAACCAGATTATATAAAAGGACAAACTTTATAGTGATCTATTAACAGTATTGACGGCTGGCACTTTACAAGAGTTTAACTGATGAATAATGAGTGGGTTTAAGTTTTTACTTTATCGCAAGGGTGGGTGTGCAGGGACAGCTTTAAAAGACCAAATGTATTGCTGTCCTTATGTTATATTAGCCTACTTCAGGTGACCTTTGTACGTGAAAATGCCTAAAAATCCACAACAAATAACTTCTATCACGAGGTGCAGCATGCCTTCCCAAGTTGCCGCGGTACAACGTATTCCAAAAGATATCCATTACTGTAACTGTTTTTTGGCTTTAGTGAAAAACAGAAAGAAAAGAAAAACTGGTTTCCTAACTAAAACAACTTCAACTTCATCCACATCCAAATGTTGATAATGAATGACCCGTTGAAATCAGTGTAGATGTTACAGACTTAGTATCAGGGCTGAAAGATACGGCATTTTTGGTCTTGATACTTTTAACTGACAATTTCAGCACATTACGCGTGTCAAACGTCCCGATGTTGTCGTAAACAGATAACGAAGCCGCTATAAACAACAGGACGTCCCACATTCCCTACACAGGGCTGGCGCCGGAAGCTAGTCGCGGTAGTCGCCCATGGCGCCACCAACCTGGCCTGCGAAAGACAGCGCCAAAATGGTCCCATTGCTTCACCCTAAGTGTCAGAAATGTGTCTGTAGATGTGACTGAGTGAAGTGCTTGATAGTGAATGAGAATTTTCGGCATAAAAACTTTCTTGCCGGCATTTTATTTATTCACATAAACTGGCCGAGATATCTATTATGAGACATCTAAATAATTAGGCCTCTAGTAA